CCAAATTCTCTCATCTTGTGATAACTCATCATAATAACTTGTTAAAACCCATCATAATAACGCTTTATTATCTTTTGTCTTTTGTTCTTTGAAATAGTTATTGCAAAGTTAGTATCCTTTAGCATACTAATTCACTAAATTTGCACAGTCTATTCAAAAGATTACTTAATAAAATGCTAGTTTCTTATAAGTCATTACTGTCATATTGTGAAATTGTAGAAATGAAACTAATAATTTGAAACAGTAAAAAAAGAAATCTGAAAATGCTTTAGTTGATCATATTTATCAAAATCTAACTATACGCGTCATGCCGACAATTCAAGTAGTAACAAAAACAAATATAAAAATGTTATAAATATAACTATAAAAATTCCAAATTCCAATTTTCGATAAAGAATGCAAAAGCTGGATTAATTTTATAGATTTGTTGACAAGAATATTAACTTATCGGATGTGCAAAAACTTTACTAATTGAATTGATTGCTAAGGCTTGCAGAAATATTGCAGCAGAAATAAATTCTCTTAAAGCGTTAGCTTACATGTTAAAGTTCAATACCTCTCGATAACAAACGAAAATGCAAACTATGTTAAAATTATTCATTTTTTTAAAAAAATGTTGTTTTGCTTTCTGATTACGCTCGTTGGGGCCCCCCTGGCTCGGGGGCCCCGTATTTTTGATACGGCTGATACGGCGGTAGTTACGCCCCTGAAAAAGAAACAAATTTTAGGTCTATCGCATGTAATAATCTTTTATCTTTTATTAAAAAAAATAATTCTAACGTTTGTTCTTTCCCTTAACATTTGGAAGTTGTAAGAGATCTCAAATTATGTAAAAAGTTTTTGAATGATGATCCTGATATTTTAGTTACTAAAGCTGATGAGGGAAACCTTACAGTTGTTGTTGACAGGTCTGATTATCTTTCAAAAACTTATGATTTATTAGATGACGGTAATTTTTATAAACCTCTTGTTAATGATCCCCCTGACCATTTGAATAGAAAAACACACAATCTTATTAGTACTTTACTTTCTAAAAAACAAATCTCTAAATCTTTAGGCTTTTCTCTGAAAGTTTTTCATCCTAGCTTTCCTAAACTTTACTGTCTTCCTAAGGTTCACAAACCAAATTTACCATTCAGACCTATCGTTTCTGACATAAATTCTCCTTTAAGCAAACTCTCAAAATTTATTAGTTCTATCCTTTCAAAAGTACCGTTTCTTCCAAATTTAACGTTTCCAATTCTTTCAATTTAGCTAAAATTTTAAACAATTCCGAAATCCCTTCCAACTTTTCTTTAGCCAGCTTTGACGTCATTTTCTTGTTCACCAATATTCCTTGGGATCTTGCTTTACAGGCAGTCAATGACCGTTGGAATGACATCCAACCTCATATATCTTTTGACTTGATTTGGTTTAAAACTACTTTAAATTTCATTTTTGAAAATACTTACTTTTGTTTTGACGATAATTTTTTTTCACAAACTTTTGGTTTGCCCATGGGGTCTAGTATTAGTCCTCCTGTGGCTGATTTAACTTTACAAATTTTACAAAATTTTATTTTAACAAATCTTCGCATTCAACCTTATTTTTATTATAGATATGTTGATGACATCCTCTTGTGTTTAGATAATGATTATGTATCCCACACTTTAAATTCTTTTAATTCTTTTAATAAGCATTTGCAGTTCACTTGTGAACTTGAAGCTAGTAACTCTATCAGTTTCTTAGACTTAAAACTTATAAGAAATAATAATGTCATCCTCACTGACTGGTTCCAAAAACCAACTTGGTCTGGTCGATATTTAAATTATTTTTCTTATCACTCTCGTTCTATAAAAATTTCAGTTGTCATTTCCTTAATAGATAGGGCCATTTTGTTAAGTGATAAGATTTTTTGGGGAAAAAACCTATCTTTAGTTCGTGCTGTTTTGAATAATAATTCTTATCCTTCATATTTAGTAAATAACGTAAAAATAAAATAGATTAGAGTTTTTACAAAACAATTTAAATAGTTCTTCCTATCTTAACAATTCTTTTTCAAAATCTAATTCTTCTTCTTTAGATAAATATGAAGGTGTTATTTGTTTACCCTTTTTAAGCAGTTTTTTCTTATTTTTTAAAAAAAGTTATTTGCCGCCGAAGGTTTTCTTTTGGTTTTCAGTTTTGATAACCCTTTCCGTTGCCTTTTTTCTCCTCTTAAATCAAAAACTCCCGCTGATAGGATTACTGATTCTGTTTACAGGTTGGACTGCAATGATTGCAATAGTTGTTACATTGGTGAAACTTCCCAATATATATACAAGAGGGTTAATCAACATACTTATAATTCCAGAAACCCAAATCAATTCAAAACGATGCTTTCCGAACATATGATAAACCTGAACCACACTTTTAACATGTCAAATCCCTCAATCTTTTACATTGAAAAAAACGGTGACCTTAAAAAGATAGTTGAGTCTTTACTTATATCCCTTAATACGTCTTGTGTAAACAAACGTAATTCTTCTCATCTCTTACATGATAGTTACAAAGCAATTATTAATTTCATGAAAAGTAATTCAATACAGTTTTAGAATCTTTCATTCGTTATATTTCTTTTCTGTTTTTCTTTCCCCTTTCGTTCTTGCTACTCCTCCCACTCCCATACACGTGCGTTGCCTACACTGCGATGTACTTTTAACCTTGAACAGTGCACACAACGCTATGCTACCATAACATTAAATATAGGAGGGCAATATGTGCTCCTCCTATTTCTCGTTTGTTAATTAATAGTATTTTATTATTTTACACAAATTTAGTGTTAAATCAATTTTTACATCATAATTAATGTTTCCTGTTTTTCCTGGTTTGGTATGTATAATTTCCTCCTTTTATATATTTATATTTATCATCACTTGTGTATTTATGTTAAATGTTTTTTTAGATTACTGAATGATGACACACATCAAGTGTCGAAACGTATAATGGAATAAATAATTTTGTTATTTAATCTTTTTTTAATTCGACGGTTGGGCTGCAAAAAATTTTACAAATATGTATCAACGTCGACAAAACTTTCATCACATATATATATATGTATATATATATATATATATATATATATGTATATATATATATATATATACAGTGGCATCGGAACCGTGTGGGCTGTGTGGGCTTGAGCCCACCCATTAATTTTGATGGGGGGGCTCAGCCCACCCATCAATTTCAAAAAATTATATGGGCTAATATCTCTAAAAAAAAACGAGCCCACTGTCTGTCTATCAAAAAAAAAAAAAAAAACGAGCCCACCCATCAAAATTTTGGTTCCGACGCCACTGTATATATATATATATATATATATATATATATATATATATATATATATATATATTGGAGTATGTAAATTTGGTGTTGATATATATTAAAACGAGTGTGTTGATTCGGGCAATAGCACCGATTATAAAAAAAACTAAATCAATTAGGAAGTCAGTTTTAATAATCTATACGTTTTAGCCTCCATCGAGACCGTCATTCAGAGGAAAACTAGAAAGTTTTTTTTATAATTAATTTAGAGAAGAAAATGGATACAGACTTAAAGATAGGTACTTACAGATTAAAAGAATTAACCACTAACACTAAACAATACACTAGTTAACACAATTGTAACACCAAGCTATCAGTAGTATAGACATTTAAAACTAATTATGAATTTGTGTAAAAAATCATATTTATGTACATAGTTGTTGAAGTTCAGACATTGAAAACTAATTATGAATTTGAGTAAAAAACTATATTTATGTACATAGTTGTTGAAGTTTGGACATTTAAAACTAATTATGAATTTGAGTAAAAAACTATATTTGTGTACATAGTTGTTGAAGTCTAAGCGCTGAATGAATTATGTTTACAAAGATTTTTATTTTTAATTTTCCGAAAACATATGATTTCGGAAAGTAATAAAAAAGGGACACGCTTCATTCAGTAATTGGTCGAGGAATAACTTTTAATCATTACAAAGCGAATAGCTGTCAAGTCTCTTGTTAATTGCTAAATTGTTTAACAATGCTAGACAACCTTCACTACATCTTCTTTTAAATATGTTGGTTTCAAAATGTAATATACCCGGGTTTAGGAAATCAATGTTATGCTGAAGGTTATTTACGTGTTCTATGAGCATTGTTTTATTCTGATTCTTATTTCTGTGTTGAGAAATTCTTTTGTGTAGATTTTGGCTAGTTTTGCCAATGTAAAACCCTTGGCAATTTGGATAATTTATAATTCGTATACTAAATTACTTAATTTTTTTGGATCAAATTTAGATTTTAATTTAATAAATAATGTTGAAAGAACGTTTTTCGAGGTAATAACTACTCTAATTTATGTTTAATAAAGAGTTTTTTCTCTGCGTAGTGAAGATAATTTATAGAGGGTTTCTACGTAATTTTCGCGATTTGGATTTTCAGTTGAAATGTTGTGGCGGTTTTGGAGGTATAAAATTTTGTTTCTGGTTATGGATTGGATCAATTGTTGGGGATAAGAATTTTTACTTAAGATTTGTGATACTAATGAGAGGTTGTTCTTAAAAAAATTGTTATAAGACTATATAGTATGGCATGATCTATTAAGTTAATAATGGTGCCTATTTTAGTAGAAAGAGGGTGGTAGGAAAGACAGTTTAGGTATCGATCTAAGTAAGTTGGCTTACGATACCAATTGGTAATTATATTATTGTTTTCGCGGTGAAGCTGTGAATCTAGGAAGCTAATGGACTTGTTGTTTTCTATTTCGAGAGTATACCATCACTCAATAAGTCCTTAGGATAACACATAGATGATGCAGTTATGTAATCAACCATATAATTTGTAGGAAGTAGCAATTTTAAGAAGATATATGTCAAAATTTCATGACAATCGGACGATTAGTTTACAAGTTACAGAGGTTCAAGTGACGCTGCCTTTGAGTTTTTCGAAACCATGAATTGAAAGAAATTTTGTATGTAAATTTATCATTGGTTTTTGATGGGTAAAAATACCATTGCTGCCAAAGTATCGCTTGAGAAGTGTTATCTGGACTGTTCCAAATCGACGAAGACGGTGAAAAAGTGGTTTGCTGATTTTAATCGTGGCCATACAGTCACTGACGATGCTGAACGCTCTGAAAGGCCAATTGAGGTGGTTACACCGGAAAATATAAAAAAAGTCCAACAAAACGTTTTGGAAAACCAAAAAGTAAAATTGCCTGAGATAGCTGATACCCTAAAGATATCAATAGAACGTGATGGACATATTGCTCAGGAATATTTGAATAGGAAAAACCTCTGTGCCTCGCAAACTCACATTTGACCAATAACATAACTAGTTGATGATTCGTAAGAGTATTTAGAGCTGTTTAATCGAAATAAAACTGAATTTTTCTATCAATATGACACTTCGGAATCGAATCAGCTGGCAAGAAATGATATTCATCAACTATCTCGAAAAGGCCTGACCATCAACAGTGATTATTGTATAATATTATAAGAACATTTGAAAATTAAAATCGAGAAAATTGCCTCATTTGAAAAAGAAAACAGTGCTGCTCCATCAGGACAATGCACCAAGTCACAATTCCGCGAAAACAGTGGTCAACAAAAATATGAATTAGGCTCCGAATCGCTTCCCCACTCACTATATTTTCTAGATTTGTTCCACAGCGACCATATCCTGTTTTCAGATCTTAAAAGGATGCTCCCTCTAAAGAAATGTTTGCCAAATGATGAGATGATGACCGAATTTTGTGGCTAAGTACAAATCCCACTACAAAAATGTTTCGAAAAGTTCGAAGTTTGCTATAATCAGTATATCGTCCTCGAAGGAAACTATATTGAATAAAAAAAAGAATTTAGCCAGAAAAATGGGTTTTTCTCAGTTATGCTACGGACTTATATTGAGTGAAGGGTAAATTGCAAATGTTTGTTGTATGAGTTTAAATAATTTACGAAAAATGTTATGTCGCTAATTGGAACGCATGCTATTATGTTGTCAACATATCGATAATAGAAATTTGTTTATTGTTAGAATTAAAGACTGCGTATTTGATATGTTTCAGTGCTATTTCTGATCAGAAGGGGGAACCTGGGGAACACATTGGGGAGCCAAACGCCTGGTAATAAAAGATGTGGTTGAACTCCAAGTATTGTTAATAATAAATTTAATAGTTTCCCTGAACTAGTGCAAGGATATTGTAGTGTGCGTGGAAATGTCATACCATTTTGCGGTTAAAGCTTCAAAAATGAGGTCTAAGGAAACATTAGTAAATAAATTCGTAATAAATCATAAAAAGCAAAGTCGAGAGAACTTTAAAATGATATGAGAAGAAAGAAAGCAACGGGAGATAACGACAACGGATAAGGGAAACTGACCAAATTGTTGAACCAAATATACCAAATAAAATTGACAAACCTACTGTACATAACAATTTACCTGACCTAGAGACACTCTGGTGTAATAAGTCTGCCATACATTGAAAACTGTATGTTCCTTGGAAAAAACTTATTTATAAATTTGGACTCCGACTAGCACTATTTTTCTCACAAAACAATAAAAACATTCCAATTAGTTTCACACATGTATAATCTTGATAAACCAGTTTACGGACAACATATATATTGCACACTATCTATTACGTGACTCAATAAATCCGTAGGATAACACATAGTTGTTGTAGTTATGTAATCATCCATATGATTCGTAGAAAGCATCAACTTTAAGAAGATTTATGTCCAAATTTTATGACAATCCGACGATTAGTTTATAAGTTGCAGAGGTTCAAGTGACGCTACTTTCGAGTTTTTCGATTTATTTATCATTGTTTTTTGATGGGTAAGAATATCATTTTGCCAAAGTATCACTGCATAAGTGTTATCTGGTCTGTGCCAAATCGAGGCAAAGGTGAAAAAGTGGTTTATTGATTTTAATCGTGGTCATACAGATACTGATGATGCTGAACGCTCTGGAAAGCCGAAACGTTTTGGAAAACCGAAAAGTAAAAATGCCTGATATAGCTAACACCCCAAAGCTATTAATAGAACGTGCTGGACATATAACATTTGAATAGGAAAAACCTCTGTGCATAATGGGTGCCGCGCGAACTCACATTTGACCAAAAGCATAACGAGTTGATGATTCGTAAGAATATTTGGAGTTGTTTAATCAAATAAAACTTTGCAGCAATATGTTACCATGGATGTGACCTGACTATATTCTGGAGTCGAATCAAAAGTCATCCGAGAGGATTAGGCACGATGAGGAGAAAAAATGCAAACGATTAGCAGGCAAGGTTATAGCATCAGTTTTTTGGGATTTGCAAGGAATAATCTTTATTAACTATTCGAGAAAGACTAGATCATCTACACTGATTATTAAACAACGTTATTGTAGTATTGGATCCGTCAGGATAACGCACCAAGCCACAAATTCGTGAAAATATTGGAGAAAACATGAATAGGGCTCCGAATTGTTTCCCCGCTCACTACATTCTCTAGGTTTGTTCCCCAGCTACCATATCCTGTTCTCAGATCTCAAAAGAATGCTAGCTGTGGAGAATTTTTTGGCAAATGATGAGATGGTAGCCGAATTTTGTTGCAAAATACAAATCGTACTGATATATTGTCTTCGAAGAAAACTTTATTGAATAAAAAAAAAGAATTTTGCCAAAAAAGGATTTTTCTTACAATTAGTTATTATACTATAGATTTATTGAGTGAAGTATTATTTGTGATTTTTCAAATTAGTATTTTTTGAAATAGTATTTGATTGCAAGTTTAATGTTTATATTACAGAGTGTAGTGCATTACTATATTCTGATGTCATAGATTATCGAATTTTCTGTTTTTAATATTAAGATTAATAAATTGTAAGTACTTTTTACTTTTTATATTTTTTCCAATTCAGTTGTTTTAGTTTTATCAAGGTTCGTCCACCCCTATTTTTAACTTTCCGAAGGAGAAGTTTATGTTTTCATCAAAAAATCCGATTCGCTAATTTTATGTTTTCTCGACGTTTCAAGACATTTTAAATCGAATGAGACCAAATTTGGAAAAATTATGTGTGTGTGTGTGAACAGATTTTTTGCCGTAAATCAACGTTTTCTCAAAAACGGCTGAACCGATTTCAAAAACTTAAAAGCCATTCGATGTACCTCGATGACGACTAGGGTTTTTGAGTTTCGTGCGACGATCGGACCCGCCGTTTCTTTATAAATCGCAGAAAAGTGAAAAATTTTTCGTCCACGTTTTAGCCCGCAATTCTGAATCGATTTTGAACATTCAAAAACCGTTTGATAGATATTGGTTGGGAATTGGGCTGATTAGTTTTTGGGAAAGATCAGCCGGGCCGTTTTCTTGTAATAAAGTTTAAAAAAAAAATTCGATAATTTTTTTTTTGACGGTAGATACCATAGTCTTTCAGATCAAGGATGAGCAACCCGCGGAGTGGTTTTCTGCGGCCCGCCAAGCATTTTTAAAATTCAGAGTTTTATATATTTTATCAAGTATAGTATTTTTTTTATTTTATCATATATAGTACACAATGCATAGACAAGTTACTCACTTGTCGGCAACTTGATTAAATATGCAATAAAACCATAGATAATAATATATATATATATATATATATATATATATATAATTGGACCTATATATTGAAATGTGACGGCGTGGTTGTTGACTTGGTTGCTTCTGGGTCCTTCTAGCTATGTAGGGGTAATCCTAGCAACCCAAGCTCAACTCGTCCACAGATATATGATAAGCGGGGTACTGGTTTGATAAGTCTCCTCGAACGGGGGTAGTTTCCTAGAGGTATTAGCTGGAAGACTTGGTGTAAATAAAATACAAGCTCTTCCGTAATTATAACCACTTTATTGAACAACACTAACAATATGACATTCAATGTCTAATAAACTAGAGTCACTTACAGTGTCTAGGATTTTACTAACTTTTACAAGAATTATTCGACTATTATATACTATAATATCTGGGTCATTAATAATAAAACAAGGTGTTTTTGTAATGTACTGTTTATGGACTAATTAAATTTTATAACAAACTTACTGTTGCTGTCGCAATTGAAACAATTTTTGTTTACAATTGCGCAGGACAGTTGATGCTTCCCCTAAAAAGTCTGACAGTCCCTTGGCAGACATTAAAAAAAAAAATTATTATTATTACGGCCTGTTCCTCCGTTTGAAAAATTTTGTCGTCCTCGATAAAATCAATTAAAGTGCCACCTTGGTTTATTACTAATGCCCTTCTGAATAAATATAAATTATTAAAAATTTTTAATAATATTAATTTTAGTATAATAATATATACATATTCTGATGATTATGTAGTAATTAAAATTTCATAACACAAATTCTATACATTATAATATATCAAATTTCATTAGGTGTCAAATTCTGCATTTCTCTAGCCTCGGTGTTACTTTTCTGTTGAGTTGTGCGCTTTGTTATTATGCAAGCTATTAGCAATACCACTACAACTATTGATATTATAATTAAAATGTATACATATTTAGAGTTGCTACTAGTGTGTGGTATTGCTGCTTCTTGTTCTCTTTTAAATTGTTCTATATTTCTTGCAAACTGCTTTAACAGCTCATCATTATTGATACTATTCGAAAATCTGTAATACTTTGGAACTGTGTCAAGTGAAATGTTTCCAATTTTCAGTTCAATCCCAGATACATTTATTTTATTCATAAAATTATGTGTAACTATATTTTGAAATTTAGATTTAGTTCGAAGCGTAATTTCATGGTTAACTAGCTTACATCCATCCGCAAGGCTTATCAGTCCTGTTCCTGATATCTCAGTAATATTTCTCGTATTTCTACAAGAAATACTAATGATTTCTCTTCCAGGACTGACAAATCCCCACGTATTTGCAGAGTGTAAGTTGAAAAATAAAGTGTGATTAAGTTTTAAAAATTTTGTCTTGCAACAATCTGGGATTTGCCCTTTCGAAAGAAACATTTCACTTTCACAATTTTTTCCATCTCTTAAATTGTATATGGGTTTGTTGATTTCCCAAATGAACTGATTATTATCAACAATGATGAGCTGATTAACTTCATTATCGTTCAGCGTTACATATTGAGTCAAATCTTTTTTGATCATTATTCGCGACGACTTCTGTTCAATAAATAAATAATTATTTGAACCGACGTGTTTCGGAATTGTGGTTGCCTGATATAGATCAAACTCATTTTCCGAAACAAGTGGTAATTTGATCTTGAAATTTAATTTATTATTAAAAATATAAATATTAATCTTTGCAATATTATAAATTTGGAGGAAATTCTTA